AGCCTTGGCCTCACAAAGGACTGCTGACACTCTCACTTCCACTCACAGCTGAGCACATTTGACCAAGGGACCATGCAGCTCCTTATAAGCTGAACTCATTGCTGCTGTGCCTCAGCATTTCCACACAGATTCAACAGCAACACCTCTGAGAATTATTTGGCAGTAAAGTTAGGGTGGAATTCAGTGACAACATTTCAGGGATGTGTACCCTGGAGAATCACTCAGGCTCTTACAGTAAGTCTCTCACAGCCCACGAAGTCAATGGTATCAAACTGGAACGGACTGCCCAGAGTGGTTGTGGAGTTATCTTCTCTGAAGATATTAAAAGCCCATCTGGATGCTTTCCTGTGTAGCCTACCCTCAGGAACCTGCTCTATCAGGGAGGTTGGAGTAGATGATCTGCAGAGGTCCCTTCCAACCTCTATGACTCTGTGATTCTGTGAAATAATAGCACGCTTAATGGGAAGAGGAAAGCAAATGGCAGGGAGATATAAATAGTGATTTTTTAACTCTCTCAATGAAGGAGAGTTTCAGCAACTTTCTCTGACAGTCTGGTCTCATGTCATTCCTGAGAGGGACCACACAGAGCCCAAACCAGGAGAGAACCATCCCATGCAATCATAGCAGCTGGAGATTAAGATATCACTGTGGCTGAAGAATGGACCAGGATTCTTGTCAAGGTTAGTCACTGGGCTCGGTGTTCTCTGAAGATACACAGTGCTGGATTGTGACTTCACATATAAAAAAGAAAGAAGCCACCAAAAATGCTTCGACAGGAGGTATTTTCCATAGGCAGAACTAAAACAAACAAACAAACAAACATGGAAATTCTCTTTTCTTGGATGAAAGTCTATAACCCAGGATTTCTATGTAAATAAGATGTTTGGTTTTTTGGTTTTTTTTTTTTTTTTTTTTTTTTTTTTTTTAAGACAGCACAAAATGTTTATTCTTTTCCTTATCTTTGCTTTCTTCCTGTGCACTTTTCTCCTTTGCCATCACAGAAAAAGAGGGCAAAAGGAAAGCTGACAATAAAGCCTGCGTCTTCCAGGTCTCTGAAGTGAGTACAATCCTCTTTGTAGGAAATTTTTTGCACAAAGGGCTGTGAGCAGCTCCACATCTTGTGTTGAACTCTCTCCCTCTGTAGTTCTGGTGTTTTCAGGGAAACACATTTGCCCCTCAAGTGCCTCAATTATTAATCCAGGTATATAATCAGAGCTGAATAGAGCCGCTATGTGAAGCGTGACTGTTCTCTTATACGACTGGGAATATTCACAAAGAATATAGAGAAAGCATGACCTTCATGTTCCTGTCCTGATTCAGTTCACTGAAGGTGAATTGATCAGCACGAGACCTTTGCCGTGACAGGTGAGTTGTTACAGAAGGTTTTTATTCCCCCTGCTTTCCCATTTTATTTCATGAAAAATACATCAGTTATAAAATGTCTGGAATAGATTCTGAGCTACATATGGAAGTGGATTGCTTGCCAGTGCCGGATGCTACCGTAACATGTACGTCACCATGCCTTTCTCAGTTGGTGATTAGTAGTTTGCAAAGTTTGGGTGAGCATGGAGTGATTTTACCAGACATGAGTGAGATGCTCTGTAAAAGCAGTCGTATGGTGTTTGAGGTTTGTCTTTCTATCTGGCTCTACATTCAAATACACCTCCTCCCAAGCTGTTGTTTCCTACTCTGCACATAAAACTTCCATCCACTTAGCTTGAATTTTGGTTTTTGCTAGGAAGGGCCTTACAGATATGAGATGTGTTTGCCCAGAGAGGGCAGGCAGATAACCTCAGTCGTAGAGTTACATTTTTCAGTGTTAGCTTTCTGGGTTTGCCCTTTTAAGATATGACAGTTGTATATAAGTGGAAGTAATTTAGCCCTGGAGGGGTGAAATTCTTTTTTAAGCTCTTCATGTAATCTTAGTTTGTTATTGCAAAACGATCTCTAACCAGGAGCAACTGGGTCGAATCTGATGCTGAATTATAAATAACCAGAAATCCTGGGGCAGAATTCTGCAGTGCTGGAGTGGTTGCCAGATGCAATTGGTGTCAGATGTATGTCTAACTTGAATTTTGCCTGTATTTCTCCTACAGGTATCACAGACAGGAGGGCAGCTGGGGAGGTGTTCTGCAGACTGTCCTGCTAGGGGAGGGTCATGTATACCAGGATATCGGTGTAGATGATCAGATGTGGTGGTACCCTACAAAACTAGTGGCTGTAAAAGTAGAAAGCAGAAAACAGCCTCTGACTAGAAGAGGTAAAAGACTGGAACTGGAAAGAGACAAGTGCAGTGATTGCCTCTGGCTGTTCAGCAGCTCGAAAACCCTGAGAATTGATTCAGCTCTGCAGACACTTTAAATACAAACTTACTCCCTCTCCAGTAAATCCTTCTGTTTTATGGCTTGCATGAGGAGCTGAGACCATCTTTCTGCATACCAGCATGAGGTCACTACAGACAGCTAAATACTGCAGTATGTGCACAGTTCAATGGGAGCATCATGACTGCAAAATGATGCAAGAGAACTTTTATACCAGGGAAGTGGTGAGATCTGTTCAGTTATCCAGAGCTAGGTCATCAGAAGCTATTGAAAGGCAGGACTGGGAATACCACCCCACCTGTCATCTTCCACTCCATCTGGGGGATGGACTGGGTTGTGTGAGGGTACAGAATGTGTGAACAGGTCAGGTGCTATAGACCAGATCTGCAACAGATATGCATACATATCTCTTATCAACCATCATAGAAAGAACAGTTTTTCCTGTAAAGGTGAAGCTGAAGCTTATGTTGTAAGAGTTGGTGGAAAAAAAGGAAGTTGCAATGTTCTTCTGGTTCCTTTGGGTAGGGCAACTTCTGATGAAAACATGATTCAGCCTAGTTTTGTTTTGTGGGCAGCTGAAGCAGATTTTATCTATCTAGCAATGTGAAGAAATATCTTGTTCTTTGTCAGGAAAGGAATATTTCCAGCCAGATAGCTGGAGCTACCTTTAAATTATTTGATTGAGTAGTTTAGCAGCATCGAAGAGTTTAACATGGGCTAAAAAGTGACAAATCAAACAAGATCAACAAATTCCTTAAAACAGGCCACCTAAGAGTAATTCTTTTGTGCTAATCTTATTGACCAAATGGAATGCCTCCCCTGCGCAGGAGACTCTGTCTTCACAGCTGAGTATGTTAGAGGACAAGGCCAGATGGCTAGTGTGTATGAAACAGAGAGAGGGAAGACAGTCATTTTCCAGAGATTGTGCAAAGGTCACTTTGGTCACAAAGACCATACTCTTTGTGCATCATCACAACTTTAAAATTGAATGTCTTTAGGTAAAATGAGTCTAGAAAGACTACAGCAGATGAAGAAAGTTTAGGGAACCAGCTAGAGATGGTTATGTGTCTATGGGTTCAAACAGATTTCTACATGGGCCTTGCTGCACCTCATTTCTAGCACTCGTTCCTTTTTTTTTTTTTTTTAAGTATTAATCTCATGTTTAGCTCAAAACCTGAGCTAAACAGAAGTGAATGGAACACCAGCATGCTTTTTTTTTTTCTGCTATGCCATCAGATGTAAGCGACTGACTGATTTCAGTGGCACAAGGATAGGAAAAGGGGAGATGATGCATTCAGTGCTTGCAGCAATGCAGCCCCAGCGCCTTCTCAGCCCAAGGGTCTTACACTAAGCAGCCATCAAGTGACACACCGCTGCAAATGCATGTCCCTCTCCTCCTTCCCACCCCTCCACCCCATACAATTACCCAGAGTGTAACCAGACATTGGCAGACACACATCATGTAGCCAGGTACAGCTCATAAGCAGTTCGCTAAAGAGCCGGCTGGAATCAGGGAGGGAACTGCTGTGGGTGTATTGTTCCAATCCCATCATTTCCCAAAACACTGAATGAAATAACTTGTTTATAATGATGCGTGACATCACAGAAATGCTACATTGCAGAACTTGAGAAACAGCTTTGAACCCTACGACCTTCTTTCAAGTGAGAAAGTCTCTAGGGAGGCACTCAGGAAACCCTATCCTTCTTCTAGTTCTCCAGAAGAAAATAACTTTTTTCCAGAATTAAAAAATAGGTGGACCACTTCCACTTGCCACATTGGAACGTGGTGGATTTCTTTTCCCAGAGAGCTGCCTACTCTAGCTTAAAGCTGAAGTAACCTCTCTTGCCACAAAGTGATAGGAGTTAGACACCAATCAAACAGATTTTTGGTACAAAAGGCACTTGTCCAAGCACCTGTCCAGGCACTTGAACTTCTCCTACAATAAGCCACAGGAAGAAAAGAATCCATCAGTGTCACACATCTTCACACTGCATAATTATTTTCTCCATTCACCTTTACATATCCTGCTTAAAAGCAACTGATTCATAGCTGTGCTTTTGATACACTCTTTCTCTGCCACAATACCACAGCACAAATTCCTTTGTGCTAAATTGCAACCAATCCCATCTTAATCTGATGATGCCCTAGCATCAAATATAGCATATATAGCATAGGTATGCTACCTATTTGAATGTCATGTGTTTCTAAGCAGTAGGAAGTGTTTACTAACTAGTTACATCTTGTGTTTTCCCATTTTACAAGGTACAAAAGCAATCTGAAGTTGAGAAGAAAAAAAAAAAGCCAAAACAGATGAGAAGCTCTACTTAAGAGAAGTAATGCAGTGTACCTTTTACCCCATCTTCCCCTTTGGCAGCCTCCTATTCCAAAGAAAGGAATAAAGTCTCCAGCATCAGTGTGGATGACATGTCTGCAGGACTAACAAGTCTCAGGACTGGGCCCTGCTGATGACTTAAGCTGCTTTGCATACAAAACACCATGCCTGGAAATTAAAAGCCTTGCTCTGCTGGCCCAAAAAGGGAAGATTTTTTAGAGGCTTGCTAAAAACAACCTTCAATCAGCTGTACAAACGTAGACAATGTTGTCTTTAGTATTCCAGATGGTCCCAGATGTTGGCATAAGCAATGACAATGACATTCATTTCTTTGCGTGAGACTTACCACACATAACCCGTGTGAGACCAATTTTTCAGCTGCCTGCTGATGAGAAGTGAAATGCACTCAGAGAAAAGCTGTTGTTGAGGCCCATAGGATCCCAAATTCTGTGGTAAAAGTCACAGTAGGGAGGATTAGCCGTATGATCACTTCCGGCTACTATCTAATTTTATCTGCGTATCACTGATACCAAACGTCATTCTTTATATCATGACAACCTTTCAACAAATAGGTCTAAAAATAAAAAGCAAGAGCTTGGAGTTGGCACGAACTGTGCAACATGGACTCTAATTTGTATAGCAGGAACTATAATCACTCTGAGACGTGCCCAAGCCCTCGGGCATCCCACGGGATTTCAGTCACTTGTTTACAAGGTGTTTTGATTTGCAGCTGTTTGGCTACTGTGGCATTTCAAGAGGGGGCGGTTTGAAAGGATGTTGTTGCTCTGGAGGTCGGGATTGGGAAACGGGTATTGAAAAATCACACAAGAAAACAGGCGAGCGCCGCCTTTGTTCTTCCCCCTTCACATGTGAATGACGTCAGTGCTGGAGAAAGGAGCTCCAGGAACAGATTCACCAGTGCACTGATGAGAACAAGCAGGGAACAGGTACAGCTCTGAACACAGAGCCATGCCCTGACCTACCACGTACCAGTGCCCCATATCTGACTTGGGGGGACTGAGCTCTCAGGGTGAGAAGGGAAACATGCAAGCCCATTGTTTTTTTAGCTTTTCAGTTTGCAAGTTTGCACACAAATACTGTGATACTGTGACATGGACACCTCTAAGAAATGGGCTAAAAGCCATTGCCAGCTCACTTCAAACCAGCCACAAACAGGTCAGCAGCTGAAATGGATTTGGTCGCTGGCTTAAAGTGATTTAGCAATCAGACAGCTCTTTCCACCATTCCTGCTCTCCTGACCCGGACAGTTCCTCTTTCAGAGCTGCATTAAGCTAATGCCCACTTTCTTCTGGGCCTTCTTAGGATAATGGATTCACATATGCAGAAAGAATGTAAAAATCCATTTGTTGTCTGGGATGAGTGATTTGCCTGTGTTTGTTTAGCAGCACGGACAGCAAGATGCCTGCTAGGTTGTAACTAGCTGAGGAAAAGAAAGCAAGGAGGAGGAGAAAATAGCTTGGCTGTTTTACAACTATGCTCACCGAGCTGTACGCATTTTTTGGCTTAGTTAGCTGTTTGCCTGTTTCTTGTGGGTAACCAGGAAGGACTGGTGGAGCTTTTCCCAGGCTCTACAGTGTTGTTCTCGTTTCCAGCATTTGGTTTTTACGTGCATTAGTTGACGGTAACTCATATAAAAATACAGTACCAATATAGGACATTTACTTTGCAAACATTCAGCCTGCTGCCCCTCTCTCCTCTGCGCTGACGTTTTCCTGTGATGACTTACTTGAAGTGCCACGCACACAAGAGAAGCATCACTCCTGCTGGCCCTGGATATCAGTCCTTGCCTGTCCTATGTGTGACAGCAACCTGACTATACTTTCTTGGCAAAGAGCAGCAACCTCTTCAGCTCCTGATAGTAGCAGAGGATTTGCCCTAGAATGTAAAGCATAAAAATGGAAAAGAAAATCAGTTAGCCTATAACACAACCAACTGTTGTTCTAGCTGGGGAAAAAAAAAAAAAAAAAAAAAAAAAAGATGCTGTGTTTGATTCTGAGTGACACTGATCGGTTTGGCACCAGCAGCTTCTCCGCTGGAGACATGAGTGACTTCTCTTTAAGCAAGCGTCAAAATGATCTAGGCTGGCATTACAGTTCATCACACTTCTTGCTTTCTGTAGGCAAAGTTGAAGGAAAGATTTGCATTTTCCTTGCACATGCCATCAAAGATCCTCACATACATGACTTAACCTAGCCAAAACAGGAAATTTGTAACAGAGCTGGGGTCAGAAATCCTGACTTTCTCCTTTCCTCCAGCCAGCACATCTCTTCCCCAGGGTTAGCAAAGACTGCTGCCATCAGGGATGTGCTACTCTGTCACCCTCTCCCATACGTACCCACCTTAGGCTCCCTGTTTTTCACCCATAGCTATGGGAAACTGCAGAAGCGGCTGCTAGAAAGGAAGATGGAGATTGCTGAAGTCTATTCTAATCCACGGTGTCTATATTTATGCAGCCCTTGTCACAGCAGAGCAGGGAAAATGTCACTGGAACAGTTTTATTTTTGCCAGCAGGCAAGAGGTTTAGAGAGAGGCGGTGCAACCTCTATTTGATGATGTGTTTGTACAAATGTTTAACTTGCTATTTCTCTTAAAAATCATCTTTAATGTTGATTTACATTCCTGGCAGAGAAGTCAGGAGGTTGGCAGTTTCGCTGCACTTCAGTCTGTGCTACCAGAGGCACTCACACACAGAGCAGTGCCTCACAGCACTCACGTTTTACCATCGAACGTCTGCAAGTTCTCACTCTGATATTCACAGGCAGATGAGCTGACTACTCCATTTGTATTTGGAAGGCCAGGCAGTAAGGATCGAAACGTTGCACCAGTAAGAGATGCACGTGGAACTGCTCGATTGGAAACAATGGACGTGGGTGACACCGCTTTCCTTGCCATGCCACCCCGCTCCACGGGCCGAGCCGCTCGTTCTCCTGCCACGCAGCGTCAAGTTAACCACACGCCATCGTACCTTCCACGCCGTTTTCCACCTGAGCACGTCAGGCTGACATTTTTACCGCCCTGCTCATTGCTGCGTGTCCGAGGACTCGAATTCTCTGTCAGCAACCCGAGTGGCGGGAAGAGGAGGAGGAGCGGCCAGCCCCGCGCGCCCCGCACTAGGGAACAACTCCTTCGTCGGCAGCCCGTCCTCTCGCCACTCATAAGGGCGCGACCACTCTCCTCACTGCCCCTCCGGCCTCCCCGCCCGGCACTTTCGTGCAGCGTGATTCCGGTGCCCACGGGGCACCCCCACCCTCCGGGCCGCGCTCGCACGGCCACAAGGCCACACGCCCGCCCCGCCGGCACACAACGGCCGCGCCCCCTCCCCCGCGGCCCGGAAGCACTTCCGCCAGCCCGGCCGGAAGTGGTGGGGGCGGGGCTCGGCGGCGGCTGCGCGGCGGCGACGTTATGTTCCTCACGGCGGCGGCTCGTGAGTGGCGCGCGGCGGGGAGCGGTGGAGGGCGAGGGCTGGAGTGGGCCGCGCCGCGCCGGCAAGGCGCAGCTCGGATCCGAGCACAGGCTGTCAGCGTCGCGACCTTCCCTTCGGTGCCGGGCCCGAGCCGCTCGGCTGGCCCCGCAGCGGGACTGCGGCTCCTAGCGGGCCGTTGTGCCGCCCGCTCCCAGCGTGCCCCGCGCGGCCGCCTGCTGGGCCGCGATGGAGGCGCGAGGCCGGGCGTGCCGTCAGGCGGAAGGCCGTAATGCTGGATGCCGCGTCAAGCGGTGGTACGGTGGTGAAAGAGAGCGGGCGGCTGGAATTAGGCAGCTCGTGTACTCGTTTTACTCCTGCGACAGTAAATCTCTTGGCACGCTCTCTCTGGGACTATCAGGGCACCAGGCAGTGGACAGCTCTGATCTCTGTGTTGCATTTAAAGGAGATGAGATTAAATGATATGTGGTTTCTTTTTCTTCCCCCTGCTCCTTCGTGCTGCAAAATAACAGTGGCCAAGAGCAAATCTAAGTAAGTGATATTTTATTTACCATCCGATATTTCCTGCTACCACTCTCTATCAAGTGACTTAGCAAAATATTGCACCCGTCTATAATGTAATGCATGTGAGAGAATTGCAGACCCCGACTCTAGCTGTGCCCTTTCTGCCCTTCAGCATGTGTGCCTTTCTCACAGGTGAGTACAGAGTGCTGTGAAAAAAGCCACTTAGTTTCCAAAACTGCAGCAGAGATAGGTTTTGTTTTATGGGCCATCACTGAGCTGAGCACCCAGAGTGCCCTGTACAGGGGATCCTCACCTCCATAATGCTTTATGGAGAAGCTATAAATCATCACATAGCCTTCCTCTTTTTGACCTTTCACACTTTTTCGGCTGAGGACAAGCTGAAGTGCAGCGTAGATCTTCATGTTTGTGTGCTAGACTCGAGGCGGTGCTCTGAGCCTCTCCCAGGCTGGATGCAGAAGGTTTCCCCACTGTACTGCATTCGTATGTTGGCTTGTGAGCAGTGGACAGGGCAGTCAGTGCTGGGGGCAGCCTGGTCTAGTAGTAGGCGACCCTGCACATAGCAGGGGGGTTGAAACTAGATGATCACTGTGGTCCTTTTCAACCCAGGCCATTCTATAATTTGCTCTGTAGTTCTGCTGAGGGGAGATGTTGGTGGGTTCTCGGAGAGCTTTAACCACAGCCCTCTGGCTTGTACAGAAAGCTGATGTGTTAGAGGGGAAGGAATATATACTTTTCTGCACACGGCTGGTTTACACTGTAGGTGTAAGGAGACAGGAGCACATGGAGAAAATGACTTGCATTCCTACTTACCAGGAATTTAGCTCAACAAACCAAGGGTTTAAACTGAACCAATTTGTAGCAATACGTTCTTGCCTTATTCTCCGAAGCTGCATTCTGTACAAGTATTCAGTATTGCACAGACTGAAAAATTATAATGTTAATTTTTTTTTTTAAGGATCAGCCTCAAAAAGATCCACCTGTTATGTTCAGAGAGATTCTTCTGTTACAGAATTTCTGTGCAATTGTCCATCTTTGAAACTAAGGATTTCTACATACGCATGTGATAGGAAAGACTGCAGTTTGACACCTTTCTACACAGAAATGAACACAGCAAAGCAGAGTGTTTCCTTGAGATGAAAAATAATATCAGTAGTGTAGTGATTTGTTTGCCTCATTCTTTGCGTGGTCTTGCATACACATAAGGAACATCTTGTCTCCTTACAGTACTTCTACATCCATGCTCCCTGTTTTTATCTGCGCATCCTGGTGGCATTCCACTGTTCTTTTCTCCTGTGCTCCTGGTCACATTTCTTCTTTGGGCAGTAAGTCTTATGAAATGAGGTGTGTTGTTCAGAAAGGACTTGGCCTCAACTGTGTGGTTCAAAAGAGTTTCAACACGTGGTCATCCTGATACCACTGATTCTCCCAGAAAGGGGAAACTCTGCACACAGGCTTTGAGGAAGTGGGTGAAGAAGAAGGGAAGGAGGCTGTGTGGTTATTGGGGTAAATATCATAGCTTTGGTGGTGTGCAGGAGAGGGCATTCACTGGGGATAGTCCCTAGGTGATGCTCGGTCAGTTGATGTGAGGGAATCCACAGTTTTTCTGTTTGTTTTTAAATCCCAGTAAATTACATTGCAAACGTGGAAAGGGGTAGCTGAGGAGGGGACAGTGGTCAGAGCTGTGCAAGTGAGGAAGGATGGGTGGCTCTCCAGAGTTAATTTTGACAAAACATTTGGTACTGGAAGCAGAAAGATCCAGGAAAGTGAACTGAGTGCCCGTGCACAGAGCTGTATTCAGCCCTTTACTGCAGTGGAAGATGAAGACATAATTTACGGACAGGTTAAAGGCTTTGGCCTTCCTTTTGAAATGCAGAAGATGCCCTCTGTTTCTGGGAAGTCTTGGAAGGCTGCCAGGGTGAGGGCCTGGGGCTGCTTTCTCAGCCCCCTTTGCCCTGCTGCCAGGGGCTGCCAGCCCACTCCATGCACACAGAGACCTTCTGTAGGGAAAAGGGCTCCTGGTGGCTGAGCTGACGTCAAGTCCTGCTCCTTGGGAGAGAGATGCAGGGTGCCAGGGGGCTCTGCTTCTCCTTTTTGTGTGCCTCTTGTTCCATTCTATCTCCTTGGTTCCTCTCTGCATGTGGAAGTGATAGTTTGAGGTACTGTGTTATCCACAATTTATCATCATCCTTCCTTTCTTGCCATTATCATTTAAGATGCAGTGACTCAACTGTATGTTTATTTTTTTTCTTTCTTTCTTTTCTGTTTTTTTTTTTCCTCTTCTTTCCCCTCACTCCTTACCCTGTTTGATGGAAGAGCTACTTCACTCTGATCAGAACTACCCAGGAGTTCTATAGTTAAACTTGATGGTTGAATTTCAGGTTTGTAGGCTGGTGGATTTTTTTTTCCTGTTACAATAAGGTTAGCATATGGTTTTAAAGCTCCCATCCAAAATATCCATGAAGTTGGAATGAAATATCTTAACGTGCCAGGTTGCTCATCCAAAGAGTATTGTCATGACAGTGCCATGAGAGACCGTGAGGGGACCCCTGCTGTGTGCTGTGTATTGACATAGAGATACCCCTGTGACTTCAGGTACATCCTGGTGAGGATGAAAAGTGCAGCAGAGACTGGCTACTGTTTCAACGTCAGGAGGCTCCGATTGCAGGAGAAGCTGGTGCTGCTGAGATACGATCCCATTGGTAAGCATCTGGGGTAGCGGTCAGCCTGCTTTGTATTAACGGCTCTGGCTGTCTGGGGTGAAAGGTTTGACTGTAGCAGGATTTTTCCAATCTAAGCAGAATGTGTCATAACACATTTGATGTTCACATGACTGTACAGTTGCTGTTCTTCGTGACATTCCAGTGGGCAGTAAACGTTATTCTCATTTTACAGATTGTGGCACTGAAACAAAGTCACGACTTGTCCAGCACATCAGAGTCTTTGACAGCCATGCCACATGTCAGTGGCAAAACTGAGTGACACAGGAGTTGTTTCATTTTGTTTCTTTGTGTGGTTTGCTAGGCAGTTACCTCTAGCATGCAGCATGCTTCAATAGAAATGTTCTGTTCAGCTGCCCTGGGTACTCCAGACAATAAATGTTGCCCATCACTTCCAGATTAGACTTTTTCTTTTAAAGAGATAAGCACAAGTTCTTCCTCCTCCACAAATGATACCACTCTCCAGATGATGATTTGTGGGTTCTTTTATGTTGCTCTGGTCCTTGTAGATTCTTCCAGTTTAAGTAGCTGATTTGGCAGGGCTTGGAACACTCCCAAGAAGCCTTTTACTCACCAGGTTTTTGAAAGGTGGCAGAGCTCGAGCTTCTAGGGGAGCAAGCGGTCTGCAGCTAACGTTAAAATGATTAATTTGGGTAAACGCAGAAAGTAAACCAGACAGGGCTACAAATGGCATGGGAAAGTTGATGCAAAAAAGTCTGGAATAAACAACATATTGAGCTTTTCGAAGTAAATGACGTAATTGTGGCTGGTAGTTATGTGGTTCAGGCTTATTATTATTTTTTTTTTAACATAATTTTACATTTTTGTTGGATGATGGACCTTGTCATGCCCAGATCTAACAGTCCAGGAGCTTAATGGCGAGTGAGAGAAACTAAGGGGGAAGCAGTATGCACTCATCCAAGTACCTGTGCTGATGGAGGTTGTGGCTTTCCTGAATTTCATACCCAGGGAGGATAAGAGATTGCAGGGGCTATTCCTTGAATAAGAAGACTTCAAGTTAGCATTCTCTTTCCTACTTCTGAACTATGTGCAAAATGAGCTTTCAGAAACCTTGCAACTTGCAGAACTGTGGGAAGATTGGAGAGCTCAGGCAAAGTAGTGCTTGTTTAGCAGAACGTGTAGTATGTTGCTGAAGGAAGAAATTGGAAGTAATTAAGAAAAAAAGCTCTGCTCTTTGTAGTCTGTAGTAGAGAACAAGTGAGAAATTGATGTGAGAAAGTGCTTGCATGTGTGAAGGGAAGCAAATTGGAGTCTAGATAGCAACTCACATCAGGAATATGGTAGGAAGCATTTTCACTTGGCATGCATTATCACCTTATGTTTTGTTCTTCTCAGGAACCCGGGACCTCCACAGAACGAAGCTTTTAGTGAAGTAGTGGCAGTAGTGCCCAAGTTTCACTACCTCATAAGTGCAACAACAGAATGCGTTGCTAAGTTGGAGTATTTCTTAAAGCGAAACTTTTAGGCGGAAGAAGTGATTCTGTTACGGGGTGGATTGTCCTTGCATTGCTTTCAAAGGCATGAATAGAATGAAGTGTAATCAGAGCAGCGGTGCTTTTCAAATGGCATTGAAGAGCTTTGTTTGGATTCTCTTTTAGTCGTGCATCCACTGTGCTTAATGTGTAGCTGAACGGACTTTGCTAAGGTCCACATCAGGTGTTGGAGGCAGGCTCCCATCCGCTTGTCAGTCGATGTGTGAGCATGACTAAATGCTGCTTGTCAGCTGTAGTTATTTGGGCTCTGAAGCCGGAGAGTAGTAGAAAGCAGTAAAGAACCTATTTTTGTCCCTGCATCAAACAGCTGTGACTCAGAATAGTCACACAGAGCAGCTGCTGAATGTTTTCACCCGCTGAAATCCCAATACTTATTTTCACAGAGGTAAAACCGACCTCTTGGGAGCTAAAAATGACACGCAGTAAAGCAAAAGCACTACTAAACCTCATCAAGAGTTGATTAACAGCAGCACTGTGCCAGTCACAGTTCATTTAAGCAGGGAAGCCGGCCAGGAGAAAGGGATGTAGGCCTGTTGAGTTGGATCTTAACACTTCAGGGTTCTTAATAGATTCTTTTTTTCTCTGTAGCAAAACAACGTGTCCTCTTCACAGAGAAGAGAAAGATCCGCTCTCTCTGAACAATGACTGGACTTGATTTATGCAGGAGGAGAGGATGGCTCGGGGGGAGGACAGGGTGAATGCTGATTCAGAAATCCTGCACCATGGGCTGAAAAGAGAGGAAATGAACTGGGATCACCGTCTCCTGTGATTTGAAGGCCATTGTGAAGAAAACAATGTAGAGAGAGAAGATTATTAATGTCTGAACATAGATCATCACAGTAACATTTATTTATCTTTTGAGTTATTTTTACAGTACTCAATTAAAAAAAAATAAATGGCAGATCCCATTGTCTGTGTTTTCCATTGTGAAAGAGGCTGTAGTCTTCAAAGGAACTATTGTTTTTAAAGGCAACAAAAATTAACATTTTCCACAGCGGGAATTCAATGGCAGGATTGCAAGTTTTTCTAACCTACCAGCCACAGATTGAACAGTAGTGACCACAAAGTGGCATTCCTAGGAGGAGCAGCATTGCAGCAGCTTCTTCCTAGGTTAGGAAGCAGCAGTGGGCAGCAGGTGGGATAAGACGCTTTTGGATAAGCTGTGACCACAGCTCATAGGGCAGTATTATTCCAAGTCAGGTAAGTAGGCCAGGGCTTTAACTTGGGGCTTTTGTCAAGCATGAAGAAAGTAGCTTATCACATCAGTCCTCTGGTTTGTTCTCTGGCAGATTTTGTTGGAGGGTTTTCTCCTTCAGCTGTCTCATGCAGGCTTTACAGCAGTATGGCTACAGATGTGTATCAGAGTTGGGCTCGGTAGCATTGTCAGCCCCCCTCCACTGTGAGGGACCCAATACATGCTGCAGCTCTCATCCAAGGCACGTAGGAAGGCGTGTAAGAGCTCAGTACCCAGAGCTGTGCAATGAGCTGCAGGATGGGGAGGAGCTGACCTTTGGGTATGCAGTGAGCCGGGTGCTGATGAACACTGACCTCAGTGCTTGCAACTGAGAACTGAAGTCACAATTTCAAAGCTTCATTTCCTGGCATCACGTATCAGAAGGCCTGATTAAAATCAAGTCAAAATGTAGCAGGAGCGCAGAACCCTCCTGATGCATTGCTGTGAGCTTTGTATGCATTCCACGTAGCACAGTAGGTTGGATGGGATGGCAGTAGCCCAGGGGTGATGTGTGGGGCTGGACAGACCACCTGTGCTGTGTTGGGAAGATAACCATCCCAGCCCCATCTTTACTACTGCAGAACAGGAACTAATAGGATTTCTCAAATAAACAAAGAGACTTTCCTGGTCTTTCCAGTCAGCGGAGGGGAACGTCTGTGCAGTCAGGAGAATAATGCTGTCTGGGATAAGATAAAATCAGTACACTGAGCTAGACAATATCAATTAGAAAAGGTCCTGAGGCAAGTCCTTCCTGTAAGGATATGAAGATTGTGTCCCTGATGCCTGGACACTCACTGATGCAATGTAGTTAGACTTCCTGACCATTTCCTCCATGGTCAGCTCAGGATAGTAAGCCAGGTAGAAGGCCAGTGCTCCCACAAAACTGTCTCCAGCTCCCTAGAATAAAACAATAAACAACTTTAAGTGTGCTCACACAGGGAAACAATTCACACACATTTACTGGAAAGACAACAGTTGTAGCACTGACTGCAGGAGTCAGGAAATCATCCAAGAGTTGAGTTCAATTCACTTTTCTATGCATAGGAAATGCTGCAATTCTAAACTAATACCACACTCCAAACCCATCGTTTTTATCGAGGTACGTGCTCTGATACGGTTTAGAGAAAAGAAAGGCAAGTGTGCTACAGCTCAGCAAAAGTGCTGCTATAAACACTGCTTTTGAAACTTCCTGTTGTTGGAATGTTGATTCTGATTTCTCAACCTGAATGTTTCATTAAAGCTATTTTTTTCTTATTTAACTTCTGTTCTTCATAAAGCGCAGTGGTAGAAGAGACAGAAAAATGGGAAAAAAAAAAAAAGCCACGTGGCTTGTGGTGTCTGTAAATTTCCTAGCTGCAGAACGATAGAGTTTGATGCCTCCAGACTTTAGCTGCTTTTCATTAAGAAGCTCCCACTGGCAAAGGTCTGTGCTGTGTCTTATTGTGTAAACCAATCTTATTCCTGGGGTGCGCTTTGCCACCTGTGCTGAGTCACCTTGGGCTCTGGCAGCTCTTCAGCTGCCTGTCCCCAGGCCTTTGTTGGGAGCTGCTGCTAGTTCTGCTCTGACCAACGGGGAATGACAACTGTTTGCCTCCCCAATGCTTTTTAACAATAATTCTTGTTTTGTTCTGTAGTGTTTTGAACAACTGGCAAGATGAATCACTTCTAACTTCATTTGCACATGTTGTTGAGTGTCCCTCCCTCCTCCTGAAGCACACCCTTCCATCCCCCAAAACTGGCCTGATTTCTGAGGCCTCATTGATAACAGCTCTTGGTGGCGTGAAGCTGCTCTCAGGTGTCTTTGCTTAAATCATACTGTTATCTCAGCAAAGCGTTGTTGCACTGTACACGCTGCTGCTATCATCTTATTTGAGGACCAGCATAAGGATTATCTCCCCTGGGGGTTTGCTGCTGCAGTTCTAATAAATCCTTCTAAGGACACAGAGGGCTGCCAGAGTCATGGGATGAGAGCAGAGGGCCTGGAAAAAGGCAGTTAAGACAGCTGAGCAAAACTTCTAACTGGAAATTACAGATAGGAAGTAATTTTCCAATTTTCATTTCTAGTGGTTCTCACTATTAAGCTCATACTTACCATAGAATCGGCTGCACGTAATACGGTTCTCCACAAAAAACACCATTTCCACAGCAATCTGTTAGAAGCAGCTGATGGGGCAGAGCAGCACGGCGGTTGCAGGGGAGCCCTGACGTAGGTGAGCACAGATACGGGTTGCCCACGCCTGTGCCGTGCCGCTCTCTGCTTGCCCGTGCCTGTGCAGCAGTTGTTTGTGCTGTTCCAGCCAGGAAACTCCCTGCTTAACGCCCTCCCGGCCTGAATTCTGCCCTCGCCTTTGCAGTGGGGCACAAAGCAGGGTGTCTCCTGGCAAACGGCACCTTGGTAACTGCAGCGTGCAGCTGTGGCAGCAGCTGTTTCAACAGTTCTGTATTGCTGAACAGACCGGGGGCCAGGGAGGGTTTTTATCAAGGTCTGCGAGGCCTTTGTCTCAGCCCTGCTTCCCACAGCGCTCCCACAATGCCAGGTGGAGCAGTAACAGGTGACTGCTAGTTAAGCATTGCCAGTATCTTTTGTCTGATACATAATACAGAAATCTCTGGCCCATCCCAGAATTTATAATCTAATCAGCACATGATTAATTATTAAAGCTATTTTGGCACCTCTGTTGCAGACAGAAGTAATATTTCTACAAGCAAATCTGTTGTGCTGCAGTGCTCGCAGGAAGCCCTTGTCATTGTTACGTGAAATATTTCTCATACAGTCGATCACTTTGTAATGTAAGTGGCCAGGTATTATTTTAACGAGGAGCACTCAGTGTATCTGGTATCAAGTGGCATAAACTCTACGTGGCAGGGGCACAGGATGGAGCATTGTCTTTCTGATCATTATTATTAGTGGAGGTAACAAAATACCAGCCTCAAAAAAAGAATAATTGCAAGAATAATGATTTTGAAAATGACCAGCAAGATGCATTTATTCTGCCCACCGACAAAATACAAACACGGGATCTGTAATGTTTTACATTCCTCAGTATTTGTATTCCAGGAACCCTAATACATTGCAGACTTTGAGATAATCCTCATATCCTCGAGTGCCCGGAGTCAGTTCATTCCGTTATTATAAAAATATAACTGACCTTTTTGTAAAGCAGGGGATGCCAGTTTGCATGTAATAAATAACTAGATCATAAAATCAGGCTGATACTGTGTGCCCAGTTCTAAAATGCAAATGCTATGGTCTCCACTAAGTGCTACGGTTTTGCAGCAGTGTTTAAAACCTATTTATATTCTGAGCCACATGTCTGGAAGGCCCTTGTTTTCCTGTGTGTCTGGAAAAGGGCATTTTTGTTTATCACAATCCAGCACTGACTGAGATTCTGTGCCTCTAGAGAAGAGAAAACCCACGAGAATACTTCTATTTATACCTTAGCTTTTGTTAGCCCTGATTTGTCAGAAGCTGGTTCACAACTTTAGTGTAACTATTTTTATACGATGCTGCCCTGAGAAGCTTTTTATAGAAATTGCTTTGTAAGTGGAAACTATATTGTTCAACAGTATTTCCAGCAAGTAAAGCATTTTTCAATCAGTCGTGCCCAGAATAATAGGATGCATTTCACTTCTACAATAAGATGACTCGTTCACCAGAAATATTTGGAGGCCGAGGTGCAATAGCTGCAGTTTCCAGTGTTGCCACAGTTGCACTGCCTTTGTGCAGGATGACCTTGTGATCACCCCTCGCCCTCCTGCCCTGTCCTCTTGGGGAAGAGTAATGGCAGCAATGCAGGAATTGTCACGACCGTTTGCTCCTGAAGCCCTGACCTTGTTCCTGAGCCTCAGAAAACCTTCCTTGGGTGGTTTTCAAGAAGTCGCAGTCAGGTCCACCCTGCATATATGCCATCACTGAATTTAAGACATTGTAAGAATACACTGCCAAATCCTAAAAGGGACAGTGTGTTGTACGGCAAAACAACAGATCCGTTAGGCTTGCCTGTAACTCAAAACTCTTCATTCAGTGAATAAATCAACAGCAAAGGCTATAAAAAACTGCACTCTAACATAGGATCAACTATCTGGCTTGTAATGAAGCTTATGGTTTCCTAGGAGCATTCACAGCAGTGCACAAACCAATGCAGCCCAAGTATTACACCGATTTAGTGCAGCCTAACTACACAGCCATACAGAGATGCCCAGCTCTGTTGAAGGCCTTGGAGAATTCCTGTCTTATTTATATCACTCCGCAACACTGCAACACTGGATTATGCTGTGAGTGTTACCCTTCTGTGTCACATCTGCTCAGCACTCCTTAAGGGGTGCACCACTGCCTGCCCTGCAGCCGAACAACAGACGTAACACAAAGATACCATCAGGAAAGGCCCGCACGTCTCTAAAACTTAAAGAATTTGAAAATTGCAAAGAGCTTTTCCACTAACACAGTTATTCCTCTATCTGTGCACGGAGTTTTGAGCTGGAACAAAAAGATAAAAAGTCCTTAAAATGGAACGACTACATTTTGCAATTAAAAAACAACAACAACAAATGAGCTTGAAACAAACAGCAGGGCTCCCCTGTTTAGATCTTCTGCTGTAGTGGTGCAGATTGAGCTCAGCAAAGCTGCTTGTGTTGAAGTGAAAGGAGAAGTATGAGGAGAAGCAGACTGTGCCTCAGACTTGTAGGGTCTGGATCCACGACCGTGTTACTGTGCTTAATCTGTGTGCTGGTAACTGAGCATTTCTGCAGTCTTGTCAGGAAGACGAGATTGAATGTTACGCTGAGCCAAAGAAAAAGACAGCAAGCCAATCCCTGGCAGAGCTGCTGGCCCCTTCCTCTCTTCCTGCCCTCCCAAATGTACACTGACACCAGCTGATGTGGCCTGTGCCCTCTCCTGATCATGTCATGGGCAATGGCTGTGCCACCCCTCACTGTACCACACTTCCCATTAGCCGTGTGCAGAACGGCTGCGATCAGCCACTGCTTCGAAGTCACAGGAGGTGTGAGCTAACACATTTTAACTGGCATTCACTGTAGGTTGACAGTGCACTCTTAATTCCAGTGATTCAGCCTGCAGTTTCAAAGCAGGCCTAAAAGCCAAGCCACATTTTTGCTGTTGCTGAAAGTCTCTGTCTCTGCTCATGTTTTTATCCTTGCCTACATCAGATGTAGCCTCGGTGCAGCCAGGCAGTGAGGCAGGCCATTCCCCCCTACTTTGTTGTGAACTGGGCCAGCCAGCGCTGACAGGGAAGCATTAGTTTGCACCCAGCCCCGCAAGCCACCACACTACCACATTACAGCCAATGCAAAGGAGAAAGAGGTGAGAAACACTCTCAGCAGCCGCCTGATCTTGGATCAGCTCACGCCAACTGTGAAACCTCATCCTCGGTCAACACAAAGCAATTCATTAACTCAGTTGTGTATCCAAGTCCCAGAGCTCCAGCTCCCAGTCTAAGCAGGGAAAGCTTCCTGGCCCACTCCCTGCTGTACCCTGTGGGCTCAGACTGAGCAGTGAGGAATGACCCTTCTGTATCATTTCCAGACTCTGTTCTGGGAAGCTGTGGGAAGGAGCAATTTCTGCCTTTCTTGCATTTATATTGCGTTGTACTTGCATGGCCATTGCACAGAGAAAATTTCTCCCTCACTTACTCAAGCTGAGCAGTGGCAGCAGGCCATCCAGTCCTTCACATGCCTTCAGACCTTTGAGGTGACTGAACGGCACCCACTGGAGGCTATCAGTTGGGAAATATCAAAACCAAAGCACGCCACACAGTGCTCCACATCAGCTGTCAGGAATTTTTACCCACTTCCTGACAGATTTCCTGATGGTTCATTAACAGTGATTAATCAGCCTGACCGTTAACCCCCTGCATTCCTGAGAGATTAATCTTGATGCA